AATTTACTGTAGTTTGGTGTAACAGATGTGTTACAAAGCATTAACATCAGTAAGGTTAGAACCAAATGCATATAAAATTTAACTAACCCTACAGTACCCGGAACAACTAAATAATAAACTCCCAGGAGGAACGTAAATCCATAGAGAAGATAACTGGGTAGGCAAGGAAATCACAAATATTCTACGCAGTAAAGATGTAGACAAAAGTACCGACAAGAGAATAAAGTACTGGAGTCAAACAATGACACTGGCACAACCAATCTCTGGGACAATGTCCAAAATCCTGTGGCTTAAGTATAAAGCAGTGCACCCGAAGAAGCATCATTAACTAAAATTAAGTGCTCAGAAGTGATGTACATCATTGCTGGCTGGTTACCCGCCATAACTTGAGCTGCCACTTGGTGATCATGTTAAGTTGGCACAAGGGTTGTTACACGTGTGTGAATTTTACCTTTTACTAAAATAACCCATAGACAATACTCGGCGTATAGGTTCGAAGCCTCGTCACGACTGCTATGGATTTTCTCATTGGATGTTTTAGTATTTGTCCTGTGCTGTTTGCTATGGTGTAGGTGGTTTTAGACCCCTATGGTTCCCTCACCTCTGAGATCATCACAAGATTCTAGTCCTGTGTTCAGGAGGCCTAAGAAAGTTACTGGCAGTTTTAACGAAACTGTGCTTTATCTAAGGAAAACCACCGAGAGGTAAACACAAATGTTAATGATAAAACATTTTTTATTTACATGCTACATCATTCTCTACAGCTACATATATTTAGAAATATGTAATCTAAATTTACCAAAGTCTAGTGAGCAAAAACTAACAATGAAAACCCACCAACAGAATTTTGCTGACTATGCTCAATGGCTATCTCAGAGCCCCCAACTTCTTAAATGTTGGGCCAGCTTTATATTTCTCCAACTAAAGGCAAATTTTATTGAACAAAACCTTAATTTAAACCAACTTTGTAATGAACATCTACCAAGAAAACTTAAGTTTCATCCACATCCTAGTTTCCCCACAGCCTAGGACTGTGGGGGAAAACAGTATCTTTCTTCAAAAGCAGTAACCTGACTCGCACAACCAGCTAAACAAAAACAGTAATGTTGACTCGCACAACCAGCCGAACAAAAGCAGTAACATGACTCGCACAACCTGCCGAACAAAAGCAGTACAGGTGTAACGTGATTCACACAACCAGCCGAACAAAAGCGGTAACATGACTCGCACATCCAGCTGTACACAACCAGCTGAACAGAAGCTTCAAAAGCAAAATGAATTTGGGTACACAGTATTGTATTCAAAAACTATTCCCAGAACTCATAAAGAAACTGTTAAGTAAGAAAAATGATAGGACGAATAAGAATCTTTCAAACAAGATGGCAAAGTAATAATGACAGTGCAGTACGACACTCAAATATTAGTACTACACACTAATGTAATGCCGTTCTCCGCTAATTAGTCCATTCAAGGCAGACAAAGTTGCTGACTAACATTTAAAAAAAAATAAAAAAATTATTCAGATCACTTTTCCTGACATTATACACCTTGAAAAACCAGGAGATGCATAATTAAATCAGGAAAATATTAAGGGCTGGTTCCAAATCTGCATGCCAAAATTCTTTACAATACCACACGACATAGCAAGATGAGCAAAAGGCAGGTATCCTGATGCTACTGAATCCAGTAATAGGAATGATAGTGCAATAGCTATACTTAATATTTTTGGAATGGCAATTTTAGTAAAGGTACATCGGGCAAGGATAAGAGAAACTTGCCATGCATAAGAAAGCAGAATTATCAAGATGTACCTGTACTGTACACTTTCATGGCTGGCAAGTGAAATGGCAGTTTTCAAGTAAACAAGAGAGACACCATGAAGTTTGGGAGTAATGAGAGAAACGGAGGCATGATTAATGACAGAAACCTTATAGCCTTACAAGCACGAGAATTTGGATGCCATCATTTATTAGTGGTATATGCAGCATTGTACCCTTTAGGTAGTAGTTATGTGCAGTTAGTCTATAGTTAAAAGAACTGTGTGAATTATGGCATTGAGCAGATAGTTCAGGGGGTTGCAAATGTTTAACAGATGGCATGACAATACTATAACTACTTTTGCTGCCTTTTGGGTTACCAAGACCAGCTTGTGTTACAAAACCAAAATAGTATACTGTATTACTGATATGACAATTGTTATATAGTAGTCTAAATATGTAGAAATGTGTATTATTTACAATATGGAAAAAATTTGGAAAATATGTTGATAAAAAGCCAAAACAATACTAGTAATTTAGAACTCCAATTATTCACAAATCTGAGTTGGGTCAGAAACAATACGTTCCAAATTTTGGAGATGCCACTCCAGTATATATGAGCATTATGAATTTTATTTCAAAGTGGTATTTAGTACAGTAGAACCGAAATAAGAGTCTGGCTAATACAATAACTGAATAGGATATCAAATGTTTAATTTTAATCAGGTTATACCCAAACCTATACTTTAACCAAGGATTCAAATAAATATTCTCAATGGTATACAATATAAACATTTCATAATGGTTTGAAACCAACTGGTAACTGCACAAAACCCATAGAACTGCTGTGGCAAGATGATCAATTACTGTAATAATTCAATAAGGCACAATACAATACAAAAATAGCTACTCAAGAAGACAGCTGCAGTAGAGACTCGGCAGGTACCTTACTGGTGTTCGAATGCTGCACTGTACTTTCAAAGAAGCTGAGAAAGGAGGAGACCCAAACCTACCTAGAGGCTAGATCATAATTTTTAAAAAGTATGATCATACTGCATCACCATTTCTGTATTAGTGTAAGAACAAGTCAATTTGGTCAAAAATTTCACAAGATTAAATACTAAGTGAGAACATGTGTCATGATAATTACAGTACAGTAACAGTATACAAAATGCTCACTGTGGATGATCTGAATAAAAACCTAACTATTATAAATAAATTAATTCAAATCAGCACCTTTAATAGACGCACACAATGAAATTTGATACATACAATTAAATTTAATGGTGCAATGTAGAACTGCACCTACTTCACAAGCAGAGATTATATGCCTCAGTTCATTCAAATTATTCAAACACCTTGCACTACAAAAAAAAAAAAAAAGCGAGACATTATTGGAACATTGTCTAATTAAAACAAAGCCAGTCTCAACAATATATTAAAAAAATTACCTCTAGTACTGGGCCTTTGCTTGAGATGGAACTTTCATAGACAAGAAATCCTGACACTGTGCAACTGTATTTATACAGACCTGACGACTGAAAATCTAGTTCTTAAAGAACAGTGCATCAAATTTGGCCCACATTTTACGAATGCTTGCATGCAAAGCAATGCTAGTAATGGATAACTCTCAATGTACAGTATAACCAAATCTAAGAAGGGCCACACATAGGGTGCCCATAAATCAATTTAAAACAAATTAGCAAGCAGCCTTACCGTACGCTGGCTAGAGGGACCATGGCAAGCGTATCAGGCCTCTCGTTGCCAACAATGGTAAACAAGAAACCATATGGAGAACTGCAAAGATTCCTATCTTCAGGAAACATTTGTCACCAGCCAAGATAAAGCCTATATTAGACTAAGCTATAAGCACATTGTCAAATTGTAATTAAGTCTTTAATGCCAGAGTTTGAATCCACATTTGGACGACGTTTCCAGTTAAGGCCTCGTCAAATGCCAGCATTTATATGCCGTATATTCATTTGGTTAGATAAGAAATGAAAATATTGTTTGATTAACCAGTACAAATGACAAAGGAATAAAACCTTTGGTGTAAATGGTTCTCATTGTTATGTGTGGTCTAAATAAAAGAGCAGACTGGAACTAAACACCACTGTACAATGGTAATTAGTACTTCTCTTCAAGCTATATTGAAGATGGCCCCTTTGTTGCCAACGTTGAAAACTCAACTTCTCAAATGCCAGTGTGTTTACCTTTGAGAATAGAAAACCAGTGAAAGTAAGAATTCATGAACACTTCCAAGCCCTCCACTTTCAGCACTCCCCTAGCTTAAAGGAATTGTAAAGTATGTATAATATTATTCAAATTAAATATGTACACCTAATGCTTTGACAGCTTTCAAAGACAAGAATGTCTCCCTATACAATGATGCTACCACTCCAAGGCACCAATGGATTAAAATCAATATGTTAAGTCTCTACTATGAATACAATTAGCCACGTCTGGTTAAAATAAAAACAACTCAAAATTATTGCCAATCAGCGAGCTAAATAACGAGTGCCTAACTATTGTATTCAATAAAATTCAGGAACAGACTGAACAATAGCATTTGTGCCGTTCAAAGTTACCAGCAACAAGGGAACACAATACTTTATAAATGCAGTAAATACCAAATGTTTAATATTCCTCCAAAACACACTGTACAAAGTTAGGCGAGTGTCAAGAGTCTTTTGACAGTGTTGTCTACCTGCATTCCAGGTATTGACAGGATCAAGCTCACGAACCCCAGTCAAAAAAATAATTATACTTCCCTTACCAATGATACTTTCCATGCGAGACTTTCCACACCACAAGTCAACGTAATACATCATGGGAAAACGCAAAATAATTACTTTTGTAAATGTACACAGTCACATTTACACCAATGCCAATTAAGAATATGTCTTTTACATGTAATTTACACTATCTTATACCACCATACTCCGCTAAATCTTCTAAGCTACTGCTAATCCCTAGGAATTTGTACAAAGACGTTGAGTACCCCCTCGAGTTAGCAGACACCTTAAATAACATCTGACGAGTTGAAAATGAAGTTAATTTAAAACTCAACAATTCCCCTGCAAAGATACGAGATGCTGAGCCCGGGGAGGAGGCAAACCGACATATACACTCCCTACACTGATCGCCATTCTTGCCAAGAGCAAATGGGTCCTGCGATGATGCACTTTCTACTCAACAAAGTGTTCCACCTGTGAGAAGCCATAAACCGTGTGCCATACTCACCGTTTCTCGAGGTCCCCATCAGCTGGTCCAGCATGGCGCGCATCTGGTCGTGCGCCGACATGATGGTGGTGTACCGCACGCTACACCGACGCACCCACACGCTAAACCTGCAGCCAAGGCGTCCCTGTGCAGCACTCTATAGCCACACTTGCCTTCACCCCTGCTGAGGCTGCTGCTGCTAGCGCTGCCGCTGCTGCTGCTGCTGCTGCTGCTTCGATCGCCTCCCACAATGCTAGAGTGGCCAAGTGAGGCTAGCCTGGCGCACCGCCACCTCTACACTATCACCACCTGTCTTACTCAACCAATATCTCTCTCTCTCTCTCTCTTTCTCTCTGTCCCTTTGGTTCAAGTTCAAGAACGTTTATTGTGATAATAAAATACATCTCAAAGGGATAGAGTAGCTTAGGCTATTTCTACCCCAATATTAGAAAAAAGTCTGGTTGTACATAATAATTTATCCTGGCCTATCTAGGTTTATTAACATTACTCTATCTCCCTATGAAGTAATGCATGGTACACATTACACTGACATTCACAGATAACATATATGTAAGTCAGCACTCATAGCTGAAAGTAAACTCTGGTTGTACATGGCGATTTATAACGAAATAAAATGAGTAAACTAGAAGCAACATGTGCAACTCTGAAGAATTCTTCACATACCAAACATTTGCTCACAAAAATTTGGACTATAGTTGAAATTTATAGCACCCCATTCCATTGCAAATATGTTTAGGAGTGTTTACAAAGATTAAAGTTCATGTCCCAGCATCACCAAACAATTTAATATATATAATAATATAATATATATACCATTACATTAACATTCCACACTAAGTGCTACGTACTTAGTCTCTATGAATGATCATATATATAGAACAATATAAACTGTTCAGATAACCTATGCAATCTAATATCAAACAATATCCATTGAGGTTTGATTACGATCTTCTGCAATCCTTTAACGCTACAGCTTACACAATCAGTATGGGCGGTCCAATAGCAACAGGTGAAATTGTGCGATAAACACCATCAATACATTCGATATAACAAACACAGTCACTGAGAAGGGTGTCGATGAAATACATGCAGACTTTGTTATGCAAGCCCCTTGGGAATCTCCACCAGCAGACTTTAAGATTGTGGTTCTTGAAGGAAAAAAGAAACAGACAAATCCTCATCATCTGCTACGTAACATTGCACAGATGCATATAGAAGCAAACTTGGCATCCGACAGCTTCACTTACTTCACAGATGGGTCAGTAGACCAGCAGGGACAAGAAACCGGAGCTGCAGTTAAAGCAGGAAACTCTGTCAATAGCTTTTATATTCTGTTTGGCAATAAATCCTCTAATCAAATAAATCTCAAAATAAACAATACCCAAATTTGTAACAAATTAGATGGCAAATTCCTTGGCATTCTCATTGACCACAAGCTTAATTTCCAGGGACACATTCTAAACATATCCAAAAAAGTTTCAAAAACTGTGGGCATTCTTTCTAAGATCAGATATTATGTACCACGCCCTGCCCTGGTGACTCTCTATTACTCCCTTATCTATCCATATCTCAACTATGGTATTTGTGCTTGGGGCTCTACTACCCAAAATCACTTACGTCCTCTAATTACTCAACACAAAGCTGCTATTAGGACAATATCCAATTCTGGCCCCAGACATCACTCGGTACCCCTACTTAAATCTCTGAATATGTTAGACATTAAGTCACTGCACATTCTCTCATGTGTATTATACATATATAAAACGCTAAACTATAATGCCAATCCTGATCTCAAAAGCTTCATAGAAGGTTGTATCAGAACCCATGAGCATCACACCAGAAATAAATACAGTTTTGATATTCCTAGAGTACGACTTAATCAAACTAGAAATGCTCTACAAATCAAGGGGCCCAGAATGTGGAATGACCTTCCCAACCATGTTAAAGACTGTACCTCTCTCAACCAGTTTAAGATAAAAGCGAAGCTATACCTAATAAATTCCCTGTAACCTACCTTACCCTTCTATTGTCAACCAATGTCTGTTTTTTTCTTTAGAGAGCGCTGTTTGTCGACATAATTGTATTTGTGCTGCTTTTTCATCTATGTTTTCATTTCTTGTTTTCATTCTACTCATTATGCTCAATTAGTATTAAGCTTGTCATTTAAGTTTATCATGCCCGAAACGCTTTGCGTAATAGTGGCTTTAGGCATTGTATGTACTAGCTCTACCTATAAGTCAAACAATCCTTGTAAATATTTATTGTATGTATGTACCTTACCTAAATAAAATTGTATTGTATTGTATTGTATTGTATACCTGAGTGTACCTGAGTTTACCTGAGAGCCACTAACACTAGCGGCCTCGACGAGGACAAGAAGCCGACGGCTTGTCGAAGGTCCATGGGTTAATAACCCTGTGGGTGAAAAAGCATCTACTGTTCTCAGTCCAATATTTGTTGCTTGTTGAGCTTGAAACCGTTGCTCCTTGTTTGTGTTACATCTGACCTTCTGAAGAAATTGTCCGGACCAACCCCTCATTCTTATTGGTCTTGCCTACCTCACTATTTGACTTGTTATATGATGAGTTTATTCGATACGACTCCTTCCTCTGGCATTCACTTAGCAACCATTCCACTTCTGGTAGTGGCCTTAGTATACATAGCTTAGTTAACTTCTGTGACTCATTTAACCCATAATTAACTAAGACTATGATTATTGTTTACTTAAGGATTAAATTCACACTTCACAAATGTGTGGAGTGTGATTGACAAATGTGTCAATCAATCATCGGGAAGAATGTACGATTGCGAGTTACATGAAAGTAACTAAGCTATAAATAATTGTAATTAATAATAATTGTAAATATTAATTAATACTAAATAATATTATTTAATAAATTAGTCCCAATTCAATGCAGAGTTTTCTTCCAAGCACAGAAACTTGTAAATATAAATACAAGATAATAGATAGATCGATAAATAAATAGACAACTTTCAAATATTGTACCAAATAATGGCGAGAGGAAAAAAACTAGACAGTATACATTACATTTGAAATTAATAATGGGTGAATGGTAATAAATGGGTGTATGTTTGTATGTATACCAGACAAAGTCCATTTAATGACAGAATTTAGCCATTTTGTGTAAAAACTTTTATATCTCATATTATTAATTATAACAGTAATCGAAAAAAGTCATAGTTTGTATATACAAGAGATGAAACAGAGAGCCATGAGCTAGAGCGATGTGCTGAGTCCATAAGGCGGAGCTTCCAGAAATACCTTCCTGTGATTGGCTGTTGCGGGGAATACCAACACTCTTTTATGAATAAAATTTAAACTAAGAAATAGGTCCTTGTGCACAACAACAAGGTTGTTGTGAAAAAGAACAACAATTTCTGTTTTGCACCTGACAGAAATCTCCATCTAACTGAATAATTTACTCCAATAAGAGGGCAGAGCAGTGTATCATTATTTGTGTCAAGGCAACACCCACTGATGACGTCACAAGTTAGGTAGCCCATAGCCCATGTTTCTGTAACACCCGTTACGTCCTGCTGTATTTAAGTATCACTATATTAATACTTTTAAATACTTAACATTTCACTTTTTAGGTAGATTAAAGTTGAAGCAGAATGTCATAAGCAAGGATGGTGAGCTGAATAAAGATGATTTATTAAGTGGATGGAGCCTTTAGCTGATCCCTTCCTGTGATTGGCTGTTGTGTGAATGTCAACAAAGAGTATCTACCAATGATATGCCATTTATTATGCACCCCATACCATCTGTGGGCGGAGCTTGGAACCTCCTACCCGAGCACAACAACCCGCCTTATGGGTTGCTGTTTGGCTATTAATAGTGCGTTGGAAAAAAACAGATGGCGCTAGTTGTATTTTGTGGGGTAATTTGTTATAAGTGTAATTTGATGTCAACAGATGGCGTAAGCTGTATCTTATGGCTACTGTTGACCAGCCAGTTGACAGTGTTCTTATCTGCCGACAGATGGCATCAGCTGTATTATTATTATTATTTTAATAATATTATTACATTAATAATAATGTATTATTATTACTTTAAACACTGATCTATACGTCTGGTAGCTTATAATAAGGTTTTATACTATGCTGGTATTATTGAAATTGAAATGCTTAAGGTAAAAACACTGATCTATCACGTCTGTTAATGTAGCTTATGGAATAAGTCGATTGTTTCCAGGACGGACCGAAATCAACTTCATGGTCTGGTATTATTGTGACTCATCGCCTGAATAAACATATTACCAAACATTCTAAGAGATAAACATCTACATTTCCTCCTTTACACAAGTAGTATGGTACTAGACGTACACAAATACTTTTATGACCTAGGTATACTGTATAGACAATTTGCAAGAGACATGCAGATAATTCAACAAAAAATTACAGTCCTGGTGCAAAATTCTTATATCTCTCAAGAATATCATCAACCTTTCCGTTGTGACACATCCAGGCTATTTGTTCAGGAACAGTCCTTATCTCAGTGTTTCTATATACATTAATCAACGGACAATCAAGAACATAATGGGCCAGGGTGTGAGACCTTAACATACAACATAGTTTACACTTCGTGTCATTATCATGAACACCTATCCCATATTCCCAGTAATATGCTGATATTAGGTAACTAGAATTCTGCAATTACTTTTTTTATCTACTGTTGAGGATATGTAAGACAAATGTAAGGTTTTGAGGCTACGTAACGAAGATAGTTACAAGATACGAGCCAGATGGTGTTGAGATTGCAAAAGGGATTATGATTAGAACTTAAGCCAAAAAAATCAATGCATAAATGTTCGCAAATATGAGACTGGGATTTATTTCTCGAAAAGTTAGCAATAAAATACGCTTTTTAATTCTTTGTTTTTAAAATTAAGACCAGGGATTCTGTCTAACGAAGCTGCAAGCTGAAACACCGTTATCCTATAATGTTCATCTGTAGCTTGACCCTAAATACAAGTTTATTAAACGAATTTATTGTTAGAGTTCATTAGGAAACAACTTTGTTGAAGGCAGAGTTTCCACATAATACCTTCCTGTGATTGGCTGTTGCGGGGAACACCAACACTCTTCTATGAATAAAATTTAAACTAAGAAATAGGTCCCTGTGCACAACAACAAGGTTGTTGTGAAAAAGAACAACAATTTCTGTTTTGCACCTGACACAAATCTCCATCTAACTGAATAATTTACTCGAATAAGAGG